GGACACCCGTGAGCAAGAAAGCAAGTGAGTGCTTTCTTACAATTCTTCTCAGTAGTGACATGGGTCATTTTAGAGTTTCCTGCTCTCCTGAAGGTGCTCTACCTTTACCACAGCACTTAATCTATTGCCTCAAAGGGCAAGCATGGAAATACACAGAGAATCATGGTGTGAGGCCACCTCATTGTTCTCTTCTGAAAAGCAAAGCCCTTGCCACAACCTGCACCTGACCTCTCCTTCACCCTATTTACTGAGCTTTGTAGAGCTGGCTATATTGAAACATTTGTTCCTGGTAATAAAGGTGCCAGCCATGCATACATCAGAACTATCTGTGCATGGCTAATTGGAGGCCTCTGTGCCTGGTACTGCTACAGTTTCTTTCCCCTATGCTTTCTGCAGCTCCCTGATGGATACCAATAAAAGCCATGAACTTTTGGAGACCAGGCCTTTTGCTCAACAGAGAACAGTACTGGGTCATCCCAGAGTCCCTCAATGGCAGAATATTTCTTTGTCTTTCTTTGGCATCCCTGTGCCATATCTCCAGCTGGCTTAGGCTGACACCCTCAGCAGGAGTTTTGGTAAATCATGTCTGGAATCAGACTCATCCCAATTTCCAAACACAGACATCTTAAGGTGGAGAATGATACTTTGGTGTTCCATAGACTATTACAGTGCAAAAAAGAATTGCTTCAGAGGAAGCATTTTACATACTAATCATTTTTGTGTAGTACCCTTATTTAGTAGTTATACTAACCTTCACTGCAACACCCAAACAAAAAGATTTTCTAAAGTGCTGCTTAAGAAGCTTTAAAAATAAAAACAAAACAAAATAAAACTAGCTTTTAGAAAAAGAGTTGTTTTTTTTCTAAGTGCACACAGTCTCTAGCAAAGGATTGTATACTACCGCAAACACCCCCAACTCCATTTGTAACTTTGAGCAATAGAATTTGTTTATATTTCTTTGTCTGAGAAAGTAGTAATATAATTAGTTAAGGAGTGAAAGAACATGTTTCCATTTTTTTAATGGATGCTCTGGACCAATTTTTGTCTTCTAAAAAGTTCACATGTTGACATCTCAGCCCTCCTTGTGACTGATATATTAGGATGTAGGTCATGTATGGAAGCAGGGTAAATGAACTAATAGACATAGAGCCCTGTTCCAATAGCGTTAGCAGGGCATCCTTTTAGGAGAAGACACCAGAGACCTGCTGTGTCCTTCTGTCCCGTGAGGACACAGTGAGAGGTAGCCGTCTGCCTCCAGGAAGGTAACCCTCACTAAAACCCCTCACTCTTCCATCTTGATCTGCTGCTTCCAGCCAACTCTTAAGCAAAATAAATTTCTGTTGTGAAATCTGCCTGGTATCTGTTATTTCTTATTGACAGCCTGAGCTAAGACAGTGGAATAGGCACCATCCTTCGCTTTCTGAGATAAAGATCACAGGCTCCTGGCTGTGGCTTCCCACTAACAAGATGACCCCAGGTTGAGAGCCACTTGCTTTGTTCTTTAGAACAGTTAGAGAGATGGGAAAAGAAAAATCAATATTAGAACAATATCAATATAACAAACTTCAGATACAGGAAGTCGAAAGACCTCAGCTGCAGCTGTGCAGCCTGTGAATGTATGCAGGTAACAGATAGGTAATGAGCACACTTGCTGGATCAAATCATTGCTTCTGGAATGTGGTTTCCTGGCTCTGCAGGATGCTCTCCTTACTTCCTACCTGTGTTACTAAGGGACAGTCATTTGAGCTCTCTGAGTTTCAGCTTCTTTATTGCTCAATCAGAGGTAATAGCAATATCTGTCTCAGTCCCGTCAGACTTACACGAATCAACCGTGAGTTCTTAGGACAGTGACTCATGGGTGGATTTTCACTGGGATTCATTTTACTATGCCACATAGCCACAAGGACACAGACTCAGGCACAGTGGAATCGCCAGTTAAAACACGGAAAGGAAAAAAGACTGCAAAGCACAGTTAGTCCTTGCCCTCTGCGCCCACTTCACGTGGCCTGGGCAGTTTCCTTTCTCATCTGGTCCTCCAAAAAGTTAAACTCTCTGCTCAATCTCTAAAAATATGTTAGTTCCTTTAAACTTATTGGCCACTTGTGCCCGCAGGAATCTCTGAAAATAATTGGGACAGGGGGAGAGAATGAATATAGAAAATCGAAAATTCTCGAGATTAAGAGTTAAGAAAATGCAATTTACAATGACTTTTAAAGGAGGACGACTTCTACCTTAATTGTGTCATCATTCTACTACTGCTATTACTCAGAAGACAAGAATTTCACCTAATCAAAACTGATTCCAACAGAAATGACTTTTTGTTTTCATATTTATGCTCCTCACATTAGATCTCAGGTTCTTAAAAAATAATCATGACAAGAATCTGTAAAACTGCATTTTCAGAACAATCAAAACTTTTCTCACATTTTCCCATATAAGTCAAATTCAACCTCCTGTTTCTCTACTTAACATTCATCTCTGCCAGGCTAACTGACTCATGGTGTCAGTTTTCCTCCCAGAGGGAACCAGCAACTCATCTCCTGTCACAAATATAACAGTGGGATCATTTTTTTCCAGGAAAAGGGGGCAAAGAGGTCTAAGAGTGGGCATGCTAAAACACTGTCAATTGATTTGCTTTCTGTTGGGCACAAAAGCGTCCCAAAGAGACGTTTGGCATTATTTTCGGCACTCTTAGAGGAATCCTTGATCTCGGTTACTTCTCAAGTACTTGGCCATCAACTCAGAAGACCTATTTTGTTTATAATAAGCTTTTTTTCTTGGGGGGGCAGCCAATTTTATATGCTTCCTTTCTGGGGACTTAAGACATTACTGATCACTACTAAATTATATGTCATCAGGCTCTCTTAATTTTATTCAAGTGTTTTGAATTAGATGCAGAATTTAGAATTCATCAACTTGAAGAAATGTATGCGAACTCTGATAAGGAAGGCATAAATGATCACAATATATGACAGAGCCTAAGATAACTGCAGATGAAGAAAAGTAGCATTGTTTAGATACGTTAATAGACTTAGTCACTGACAATAATTCTTTGGAATTGTTTTATTCCTGAAAATACTTCTGATTTTACTGCAAATGTGAGAATTTGAGTAAGAAACTTAGAGGCTAAGGTCAAAGGGAAGGAGAAATAATTTATCCATTTGTCTTTCATAAATAGCCAA